TTGCAAAAACTCAAAAGTATTTTGTGATGCGGGAGACATTAGCAAGTGTGTTGTGGCAAAAATTGGAAGACAAGTATATGACGAAGAGTGCAGAGAACCGGCTACACTTGAAGAAAAAGCTCTACCGCTTCCAATACAAAGAAGGTACAAAAATGATTAGACACCTTGATGCTTTTAATAAGTTGATTGCCGACTTGTTAAATTTAGATGAGGATATTAAGGATGAAGATAATGCCTTAATATTGTTGAATTCATTGCTGGACTCTTATGAGCATTTTGTTACTACTATTATGCATGGTAAAGAAACTGTGAAATTTGAAGATGTGTCAAATGCCTTGATGAATTATGAAATGATGCATAGAGATAAAAATCATGATAGTACCTCTAAAGCTTTATTTGTTAGAGGTAGATCATCGGAGAGAAGATCATCTTCTAGTAGGAAAAAATCACAGTCTCGACCTAGAGGAAACTCTAAAGGTAGAAAACCTTTGGAAAGGGATGAATGTGCCTTTTGTCATAATAAGGGCCATTGGAAGAAAGATTGTCCTAGGCTGAAAACCAAAGGCAAAGAAAGTTTTGAAGCTAATGTTGCTGAGGTTGAAACATATTTTTCTGATTTTGCTTTAACCACTTCCTCATCATTTGATTGTGCTACTAAGTGGGTGTTGGATACTGGTTGTACTCATCATATGACTCCTCACAAGGATTGGTTTTCAAGCTTGAAAGAGTTTGATGGTGGTGTTGTGTTCATGGGAGATGACAATCCTTGCACAACAAAAGGGATTGGTACAGTTCGTTTGAAGTTGCATGATGACATGGTTAAAGAGTTGACAGGTGTTCGGTATGTACCGAATTTGAAGAAAAATCTTATTTCTTTGGGTACTTTGGAATCCAAAGGCTTCAGGTTTCATTCAGATGGACATACATTGAAAGTTACTTATGGTGCACTTGTTGTGATAAAAGCTTCTCGATGTGGCCATTTGTATTTATTGCAGGGAAGCACTGTGACAGGTGAAGCATCTGTAGTCTCTGAAAATATGGGCACATCTGATTCAGATACTACTAGACTGTGACATATGAGATTAGGCCATGCCGGTGAGAAAGCTCTACAAGGGCTTGTAAAAAAAGGTCTTCTAAAAGATGCCACGACTTGTAAGCTTGATTTCTGCGAGTATTGTGTCTTGGGGAAGCAAACTAGAGTGAAGTTTGGTACTGTTGTACATCAGACGAATGACATTCTTGATTATGTGCATTCGGATGTTTGGGGTCTTACAAAGACTCCCTCTTTGAGTGGTAGACATTGGTTCGTGACCTTTGTTGATGATTATTCAAGAAGGTCTTGGGTCTACACTATGAAGCACAAGAGTGAGGTGTTAAGCATTTTCTTGGGTTGGAAGAAAATGGTTGAGAACCAGACTGGGAGAAAGATTAAAATTTTGAGATTGGATAATGGTGGTGAATACACATCCGATACTTTCTTTAAAGTTTCCTAAGAGGAAGGAATTGTGAGACATTTCAGTGTTCGGGGAACTCCACAACAAAATGGAGTTGCACAAAGATTGAATCGAACCTTGCTTGAAAAGGTTAGATGTATGTTGTCTCAGTCGGGTTTAAGCAAGTCATTTTGGGTAGAGGCAGTTAATTATGCATGTCACATCATCAACCGGTTACCCTCAGCTGCTGTTCAGGGTAAGACACCAATGGAGGTATGGACTGGAAAACCTTCTTCTGATTATGACTATATCCGTATTTTTGGTTCACCTGCTTATTTTCATGTGACTGAAAATAAACTTGATCCTAGAGCCAAAAAGGCTATCTTTCTTGGTTTTAGTAGTGGTGTCAAAGGTTACAGGTTGTGGTGCCCAGAGATGAAAAAACTTGTAATCAGCAGAGATGTGACATTTGATGAAGAAAGTATGAACAAAGTCTCTGAGAAGAATGTGAAAGATGTCCAACAGGTGGAGCTTGAGAAAGTTGCCTCTGGTACTTCAAATCCTATTTCTGCTGATGTCGAAGCCACTACAAGTGAAGAAGTTGGAGACCATGAGGATGTTGAAGAAGTTGAACTTGAAGATTCTATTCAAGTTGAAGAGCAAGTTTCACCTCAAGAGTCTATTGTCAAGAACAGAGGAAAAAGACAAATTACCAAGCCAGCTCGGTATAGTGACTATGTTGCTTTTGCTCTTCCTATTATCATTGATGATATTCCATCCAATTTCGAGAAAGCCATTGAGAGTGAGGAGAAGAAGAGGTGGTGCAATGCCATGGGTGATGAGATGAATTCTCTCTTGAAGAACAAGACTTGGGAGTTAGCTAAATTGCCTAAGGGTAAAAAAGCTATTGGTTGCAAATGGGTGTATGCCAAGAAGGAAGATGCTGATGAGAAAAGCAATGTGAGATTCAAAGCAAGATTAGTTGCTAAAGGGTATGCACAAAAGGAGGGCATTGACTACAATGAAATCTTTTCTCCGGTTGTGAAGCACTCCTCAATTCGCATTATGTTAGCTCTTGTTGCACAGTATGATCTTGAGCTTGTGCAACTTGATGTGAAGACGGCTTTCCTACATGGTGATTTGAATGAAGAGATTTATATGTGTCAACCGGATGGGTATATAGTGAAAGGGAAGGAGAACTTGTTTTGCAAATTGAAGAAATCACTATATGGCTTGAAGCAATCTCCAAGGTAATGGTATTTGAGGTTTGATAAATTTATGAAAGGCCAAAATTATTCTAGAAGTCAATATGATCATTGTGTGTACTTCAAGAAGTTGCAAGATGGGTCTTTCATTTATTTGTTGATATATGTTGATGATATGTTGATTGCCTCAAAGAATGTCGAAGAGATTGAGAAATTGAAGAAGCAAATGAAGAATGAGTTTGAGATGAAGGATCTTGGTGAAGCGAAGAAGATCCTTGGCATGGAGATCACTAGAGATAGAGAGAAGGGTTTGGTCAGTTTGAATCAAAGACAATACCTTGAGAAGTTGATTCGGAAGTTTGGAGTTCAAGATTCAACCAAACCGGTTAGTACCCCTTTGGCTCCTCATTTTAAATTGAGTTCTCTACAGTGTCCTAAAACTGATAAAGAGAAGCTGCAAATGAAAAATATACCATATGCAAATTTGGTTGGTAGTTTGATGTATGCAATGGTATGCTCTAGACCGGATATTGCTCATGCAGTTGGCATGGTGAGTTGATATATGCATAATCCAGGTAAAGAGCATTGGCAAGCAGCTAAGTGGATATTGAGATATCTCCATGGTACTCGAGATATTGGTTTATGCTTTGAGAGAGATGACTCTGGTATTGGTCATTTTGCAGTTGGTTATGTTGATTCAGATTATGCAGGTGATCTGGATGGAAGGAAGTCTACTACAAGCTATGTGTTTACTATGGCTAAATGACCAGTTTGTTGGAGGTCCATTTTGCAGTCGTCTGTTGCCTTGTCTACTACAGAGGCTGAATATATGGCAGTTGCTGAAGCTATAAAGGAGGTCATTTGGATACATGGGCTGATTAAAGATTTGGGGGGTTGATTAGAAGCAGGTGGAGGTACATTGTGATAGTCAGAGTGCCATTTATTTGGCTAAGTATCAGGTTCATCATGCGAGGACCAAGCACATAGATGTGCATTATCACTTTGTTCGTGAAATTGTTGGTGAAGGGGAAATCATTCTCCAGAAGATTCCAACTAAAGACAATCCTGCTGATATGTTGACTAAGGTTGTTGGTGTCGCCAAGTTTGTTCATTGCTTGAACTTGACTCACATTTTGCCTATATAAAGAAGGCATTGAGCAGTAGGAGTTTTGAAGCATTTGGCTCGGCATGAGTTGTTCTCTTGCTAGTGTTTGGGAGTGATGTTGTGTGTTAATTGTGTTGGTTGGCTTATCATGGCGTTTTTTGGAACTTGGTCAAGGTGGAGATTGTTGAATAAGTGGCCAAGTGGCCAAGTGGACAACAAAACAAAACAACTTTCGGCTAATAAACAAACCAAAAGAAAAAAAAGTGAAAGACAAATGATTATGTTTGTTGAAAAGAAAAAAGGAAAGTCATGATGATGTTTGTAAAGTAATCATTATGTCTTTACTTTGGTTTTGTTTATTGGGTGTTTAGAATGGATGAATGTGTGCATATGGAAGTAAGAGAGAGGAAGGAAGTGTGCACCATTTTTCTATTTTAGAAGCCCATCTTTGAGAGAGCAAAGTGAGCTGCAGAGAGCAGAAAATTGAGAGCAGAAAAGAAGAAGAGGGTGCTCTTCTATTTGGTTAGTAATCATTCACCAAAGTAGTTGTTGTTGTAATAGCTTTGAGCTATATGTATAGAGAAGAAATTATTCGTTATATTTCTTTCTCTATTTGTTGATGTGGTGTGTGAGAGCTATTGGGTGTATTGGGTTATTTGGGTTGTGAGATTGCCAACACTTTGTAAACTCCCATTTGGTTGATAGTGGATTCTTGGGTGAGCTCCTACTGCTCCGAGGACGTACTCCAGTTACACTGACTGTTGAGAAACCTCGTTAAAATCTTGGTGTCTTTAATATTTTGTTCTTGCATTTTCATTTGATATATTTCCTGTGGGTTAGCTTGAGTTGGTTCCATAAGGTTTGGTTCTGTCATAGCACAACACATTCAAGATCAGAGGAGTCCTGAATTCGATTTTCACCATCAGAATGTATGGTTAAACATAGCGCGCCCGTCATGATATGTTTTCCGGGCAAGAGCCTTAAAAAAACACTTCACTTCTTTGATAAGCAAACCACATTGTTAGTTTGTTCAGTAAGATTATAACTACATAACCTATTGGCATATGTAGGTTTAAGGATTTGATCAACATTGTCAAGTAGTTGCGAAAAGACTCCAGCAGCAATATCTCCATTTTCCCAGCACCAAAGACATGAAACCCCCAAATCACGATATGAAGAGGTCGATACCATGTTGAACAGAAGATATAAAAATGAAAAGGAATGGTAAATACCGAAAGGAAGAACGATATGTATAGTTTGCCTTTATAACGAGCACACAGATACAAAGACGGAGTCATTCAGCTAACAAGCAAACAGAATATCCAAATTCAGGCAGCAAGGACGTAAATAAAAATCGAGTTGCATATCATGCAAGACATTACAAGGACGAAAAGTATTACTTTATTACAATTTTAGAAACACAGTTACATAAGTAATGAAGGAAAAAAAGACGAATGTGTTCATATCAAAGATATTGAAGCAAAAACACGGTAATAAAAGCCAGGTTTTGGACATACCAAACATAAACAAGCGCTTCTTTTAAAAGCTTTCCCAAAAGTTGCACCCAAATGAATGTGCTTCTAACTCGCTGACCAAACTTTCAAGCCTCGTGCACCTAGAATTAAGCTCCCACAATCGTTTCTCAAATAAAGTGCTACTGCTAGCACATCCGTTATCTACAGTGCTTACAATATCCTCACCCAACTTCATGGTATTGACGGAACTTTCTTCTGCAACTGGACATGCCAATTTCTGATCTTGACCTGATAATTTCACACTCTCACTACTTTGTCTAATCCCAAAACTTTCATCCTTCTTACTGTATTTCAAAAGTTCCGATATAGTTAGTTTATCTTCATCCACTGGATCCTTCGAAAGCTCTAATATAGTTTGTTCATCTTCATCCATAAGATCGTCAGTTTCTGTTGCACCTTTGGGAGGGAAACCAGGAGTTACGGAGGGGTAGTTAGCCCTCAATAGAAACCATTGCTTACTCTTTGTTCTCTTCGATCTTTTTTTCTGTGGCACAGCTGCTTCACATGCATCCTTGGGACCTGCCACGGATTGCTTCCACCACTTCAAGTACCTTGTGCTAACATCTGCTTCCGAAAGCCTAGATGGAAGATACAATTTTACGTTCTTTATTTTCTTGATGTAATGCTTCCAGGCTCTATAGGGATCTTGATTAAATTGAGTAATAGAACAAGGAAGGTCTTGATCGTAACCAAATTGTAGAGATACCCGATGCGGAAGATAATTCTCTGTAGTACCACCAAATACAACTAGCTCACAGACGCTCAAGCATCTAACAAATGACAGTAACTCATCATCCAAATCAGGACCAACCAAAACCCACTTTTCCTCTTGTGGATAGTATTTGGGTAAACACCAGTTCTCAACGACATCCAATGCATAAGGGCGCCACAAGAAGTCCTCTCCGGCGGAGTCTAAAACCTTTCTCAAGTTTCCAACTTCCAGACCATCTACTTTATCCCATCTTGCCATTCTTGGCTCACCATATTTAAGAGGATTGGGGTTTTCTGGCCTAAGGTCCGAGAATCGTTCCCATGCCCATACCTGCACTAACTGCAACGGTGACTTGAGGGTTTGGTCTAAAACAGCATCACTACTTCTATCTAATCTGTTCGATTCGACAATTGCCTTCTTCAACACACCCAAATCTCTATAAATGCTGGCAAGAACAGCCGGTGCAAGCGCAATTCGGGTCCCCCTAGCTAAATGAATTGCTATAGAGAAAACAGTGTTATGTATCCGATATGGAGGATTTAGAAAAACATACCTGCACAACCAAAACACGAGAAACGCTTCGTGCTCGATTTCACTCCCACTGTTCATGAACTTGTTCTGCCATATCTGTGTGGTAACCTGTCCATTATTCCAGTAAATTTCTTTTCTCCCTTCAACTAATTTCTTGTTGATTTCCCTGACTTCTGTGGTTTTCAAAGGGCTGAAAACAGAGTCCCCTAAAACCGAGTAACCGCCTAGAACCATAGCATCCTCCAATGTGATTGTTGCTTCACCCCACGGAAAAATGAACGTATTCGTCTCAGAACACCATTTCTCACCAAACCCGAAAACCAAACCCTTCTGTCTTCGTATTTGGTACGTCGAATTGAGGACTGCTTCATAAATACCAGCCTTCTTCCACGTAGATTGGTGCACATATGCCATACGATGCACCCAAGTTTTCCAACTATTTCTCTCTAGTTGCGGCCATCCCGGGAAATTGACCTTCAAAGGCCATGTATCTGGCTCAAAACGGGATGGGAGGGAGGAGATTAAAGCTTGGAGCTTGAAATGGAGTTCATCAATGGAGGAATTTTGCGAAGTGGGTTTTAAAAAGTAGGATTTTTTGAGAAATGGGTTGCCACCAGGTGGTGAAACCATCAACTCTTCTCTCTCTTCCACCATTGATTCTTCTGGGATCTCCATCACCAAAGCTTCCAAGCTAAGAAGAAGAAAATACGTGTTTTTGTTTTCCTTTCCCGATAAAGTTTTGGACTTTTGGTGGGTTAGGAAGAACTGCGATTGGGTTCTGTGGCTTTTGAGAAATGGGGTTTGGAAATGTTTCGATTAAGATAGCATTCAAAGTCGGTTTGAAGAAAAGGGGACTGATTTCCATAGAAGGAATAAAACAGAGTTTGTGTGAGTAAGAAACTGCCTAAATCTTGGTGGTCCGAAACAATGAACTTTGACTGCTCTGTTCTTCTACGTTAATGGAGAGATTTTTCAATGTGACCGTCATATAAAGTGGTGCATCACGTGTCTTTATATAAATGATGAGATATGTGTGTTAAAAAGTTAATAACTTAAAAATTAAAATTTTTCACCATTTATATAAAAACAAGTGATGTATCATCCGTGTTCCGTCACAACTAAAAATTTCTCACATTAATGGTCAATTAGAAGGCGAACGTCCAATCGTAATAGTCCACGTACAACGTTTAGGGCAGTTCTGCCTTCTGCACCAAAGAAAATAGGGGTTTCAAATATGCTGGGTTTACCACTTACAGGTAAGGTTCTAAGACCCACTCCACCTTAGGCTAACACCTATAATTCCCCATCAGTGGGACCCCACCCATATGAGCATGTTTTTCAGAATTTATTGAATTGAACGGTTGAAATCGAATATAATCAAATATAACGGTAAAAAAAAAAATTTAACGACCCAAATTTAAATTCAATGATTAAAATAATTAAAAAAAATTATTTAACTCAAAATTCACCCAAATTGAGTGATTTTTCAATATTTATCGAAATTTAAATATTTTTAGGTTAAAATGTTCATAAAATTAAATTATGATAGTGTACATAATTTTTTGTTAAAAAATTACTTTAAAAGAAAAAATTAGCCTAAATTTATTCTTTAATAATCTTGGGCTAAAAAATTTAGGTCAGAAGGGTTGGAGCAGAAAAGTTGTTTATGAGCTAAAACCTAAATTTTCTGGGCTAAAAATTTTAGGTTTTAGCTCAAGGGTTGGAGATGGTTAAAAGATGCTAGACGCTAGTCGAGCGGCGGGCTGGGCCTAGCGCCTAGACGGGGTCTAAGCGGGCGCCTAGGCGGATTAGGCGGATTTAATTAAATCTATTATATGTCGTGTAAATAAGTGTCTATTTATACTTAAATTATATATAATTTCATTATAAACTACAAAATAGAATGACATATATATTATGAGCTATTGGAACATAATGAAAACATAGGAAACAAGCATATAATGTATGTTGAATATAATGAAAACATGGAAAATAAACATATAATGTGTGTTCATTTAAGTATTCAACAAGTCTCTTACAATTTATTGAAAAAATAAAATAAAATGCAAAATGAAAGTCATCTATTTTTTGTCTAAGTGAGTCGCAACCTAGGCGGGTCTTGGCAGGCTAGGCGGGTGCCTCAGTAGGTCTAGGTGCTCTTTATTAATTTTCAAACGCCTATGCATTAATTGGGACGGTGACCAACCTTCACAAAAGTTAATCAAGAACCTCATATGGGGTTAATGGGAACATCCTTCACAAACTAGTACCAAATTATATCCATTTGAATACTATTAACCGTTGCGGCCATGGAAGTTCTTTAATTAAAACAAAAAATTACAAAAGAATGTTACTGAAAGAGTTGCATATTTTCAAACCACAAAACCATTCAAGCTCTAAACTGTACAAACCATAGTTTCAATCGATTGTTCCGAAACGCGAAGAACAGTTGAAGAACTACTCAAAAAGTTAAAAGCTATAAATTTCTATGGTTAACAACCCACATTGTTACAAAATCTATTGGCTCGCGGAGATTCAAAACTTCGATGATGACCAAGGCAAGAAGTTACCAAAAATTTCAGCTGCATTGTAAACAGTCCATCAAATATCTACGACTAGAAGGTACCCAAGTTTCTGCTGTTCCAAAGTGCGATTCATGTCCTCCATTTTCCCTGCACCATGAACAAGAACACAAAAAATGAAGACCGTTACTAACGATTTCAAGAGGTTGGTACCATATTGAATAACAAAACACTAACAACGAAAAAATAGATATATTTCAAGTTGACATAAATGTCTACTGGATATACTGATAGCTAGAACGTAACCGGTAAAGAATTACAAAAAATTATGAAAACAGAAAATCAAGTCAAATGTATATGTACAGCAAATCACACAGGACAATAGATGGATGAAATAATTGAATACAAATTTCAAAAAAATTGGGAATTTATCAAATAAGGAAAAAGAATGCACTCGTCACTGAGATTATTTGACAGTAATACTGAGGTTTGAAAAATGGGAGTTTTAACAAAACACTTCCGTTTAATGAAAAATCACATTTTTACTTTTAACTAGCACTATTCACTATACCTTTAAAAAAAACTTTTAGTTAAAAGATAAGTTTTTTTGAACTTTTCATTTGTTTTCCTTTGAAAATACCTACTGAAAAGCGCATTTTCTTTCATTAAGCTTTTCCTAAAACTTGCTCTGCACCGTATCTGCATTTAACTCATCAAACATGATTTCAAGCCTCTCAATCCTAGTTTTAATCTCCAAAGCTCGTCTCCCAAACAAAGAGCTACTGCTAGCACATTCATTGCCAACAACGCTTTCTATGTCCTTGTCCGACTTCTTGGTACAAAAAGAACGTTCTCCGGCAATTTTAGATTCCAAATTTGGATCTTGACCTGATAATTTTTCACTGTCACCATCTTCTATAATCTCAACATTTTCATGCTTCTTATATTTTCTCAAAAATTCTGATATAGTGAGCTTATCATCCTCATCCATAGGATCTCCAGCTTCCATATTGTTGCATTTTGCAGGACACCCGGGACGTACAGGGGGGTGGTTAGCCATCAATACTAACCGATCATCAACGATACTCTGTGCCTTCTTTTTCTGTGGACTAGCAGCTTCACTTGCATCTTTGAGACCAGACAATGATTTCTTCCACCACCTTATGCACTTTGTGCTAACATCTGTCAACAATAGCTGCTAAATATTATTGGTATAGACAATAAACTTGTAATTATTCCTCTAGTTAGCCATCATTACTTTACTTTATAGCTAGCCATAATTACTTTACTTTATAGCTAGTCATCATTACTTTGATTTGCTTTCCTTTTCTCCTTATTTTCCTTTTCGGTGTTTTCCTCATGTAATCATCATTTAACTTGTCCACTTGTTAGGACTAGTTGTGTAGTTTTTGGTCCTTTAAAAGAGAGGACTTCCCACTTGTAAACAAATGATAATGAAGTATATTACAATTTCTGAGATGGTATCATAGCAGTCGATCATGACTGACTCTTGAACCTCAAAAACAGAAAAAAGCTTCCGCCATATCATATCTCAATCATCATATCAGTTTAATTTTTATTTCAACTTCATTGATCTTAAGCCTATACAATGGCTAGTGATGATGAAGTATCAGACCCACCAATTCAGTCATTCACAGCAGGTGAATCGAACTCCACCACACAAGTGGTCACCATTCAAAATGACAATTCCAATTTCTCTGCAGGAATTAAACTTGATGAGAACAACTATTCTCTATAGCATCAAGTTATAGAGATGAAAATTGCTGGTCGAGAAAAATATGGGCATCTTTCCGGTGATACCAAGCAGCCTGCAATCACATACCCACTGTATAACAAGTGGTGAGTTGAAAATTGCCAAGTCAAAAGTTGGTTATTTGATGCTATGACACCCAATCAGATGAAGTGGTTCATCCGTTACGACACAGCCATGCAGGTATGGGATGCCATAAAAAAGACTTACTCTGGCTCTGATGAAGCCAAAATTTATGATCTTCATAAAAGGTCATTTACCATGAAGCAAAATGGAGCTCCTATTGCTAACTATTACAGCAATCTCACCGAGATTTTTCAAGAACTTGATTAACTTAGTCCTACTAACATGAATGACCCATATGATATCTTATCAAGGCAGCAAGAATTGAGTGACTTCGAGTCTATATTTTTCTTGCAGGATTAGACAACAAGTTTGATCAAATTCGTGGTGAGATTTTGAGGATGGAGCCTAAACCTGGTCTTGAAGAAGCATACTCTCATGTCAAACATGAAAGCAATTGACAAGGAACCATGTCAGAAAGTGCCACCATGCCTGAAGCTACTGTGCTCTTTACCACAAATTCTCAATATCCACAAGGACTTCGACTTCAAAACATAAACTCCTCAACAGCTGATCGATTTCGTAATCGACCACCTATGCAGTGCACCAAATGCGGATTGAAAAATTATACTATTCAAGGTTGTTATAAGATTATTGGCTATCCAGAAAGATGGGTTCACAAAGGACGAAATAAGGAATCCAGCAGAGCATCATTCACCACCTCTGAGTCTTCTCAAGATGTTAGCTCATCTGACCATGTCCCAAAAGCCTTGAACGCCTCAGGTATATCTAATTCTACATCCGCTAATACTTGTAATAGATCGTAGATTATTGATACAGGTGCCACATATCATATGACATTTGATGCTAACATTCTTCACTCACTAAAAATAGCCAACCAGACATTCATTACCAGTGCCAATGGTTCAATCTCTCCGGTTACTGGAGAAGGCTCTCTTTCACTAATTTCCTCACTCAATCTTGATCATGTCCTAGTTGTCCATCCCTAGATTACGATCTTTTATCTATTTCTCAAATTATTGACTCCCTTAATTGTTCTGTTTCTTTTTTGCCACTATATTATCTTTTCCAGGATCTGCTCACCAGGGCCGTGATTGGTTGTGATACTAGAATGGGCAAACTATATTATTTGGACTTAACAGAAGAATGCAGCAATAGATTGAGTCAAGTGCATCATGTAAGTAGAGACGAATCAACTCGAATGAAGAAGATTTGGTTATGGCACAGGCGATTAGGACATCCCTTATTTGGTTATCTTAAACTTTTATTCCCTGAACTTTTTCCCCAATTCAAAGAATCCGATTTCCATTGTGAAATTTGTATTTTGGCCAAAAGTCATCATGTTTCCTATCCATTAAGATTAAATAAAAGTTCTGTGCCATTCATGGTCGTTCATTTTGACGTTTGGGGTCCTGCCAGAATTCTTACAACTTCTGGATTTAGATGGTTTGTGGCATTTATAGATGACTGTATTAGAATGACCTGGGTGTTTCCAATGAAGCACAAGAGTAAAGTTCCTACCAAGTTCAATATTTTTCATCAATATGTTGCA